ACCCAATGCCACAGAAGTAATCCGCTTATGTCTGTCCTCTCAGCCTGCCCTGGCAAATGTCACTCAACTTCAGAAACCGTGGGAGGAAACGTCCTGTTGGCCAAGTATGGGCCAGATGCCTGGGCCAAGATGGGAGGCCGGGGGACTTGAGAAGTAGACCCGCAGAGCCTACCCAATGTGGGGGAATTCCTGAGGCAATTGTTCCCCAAAACTCCTCTGCCTCCTCCTCCCTGGCAAACAGTTTGCATTTCCCAGGCTCCTTTGCCATTCAATGCTAATTAGTTATGTTCCCAAGGCCTAGCCCATAAAAAAAAAAAAAAAAGCAAAAGTCATCAGACCCAGTAGTCCTTGGACACAGATCTTGCCCATGCTTCCCACACCTTGTGGCTGGCCAGAATAGTGGCAATCTGAGAGGACCCAGGATGTACATGTCAAAGACAGGTGTGTCTCCATTAACACAGGTCGCCTTGTGGCCGCAGGGATGGGGCTCTACTCTTTACAGTGCTGTGGCAAAATAAGAGTAAGGATTACCTGGGGTCAGAAAACTGGCACAGTCTGGTCACAGAAAAGAAACAAAAGGGAACCTTAAAGGTGGCTCACATTAACGTTCATCTTGTACGCTATTCAATTCACAGGCAAGAGTATGGGGGATTCCAGTTTGGGTAGTTGGAACGGCAGCCTTGTAAAGATCAGTGTGACAGGTGACTTGGATAGAGAACCCTAAATGAAGACATTTCTGGGCCTCCCCTCCACATCATCTCCTCATCTCCTAGATGACCATAAATTCTAGGAAACCCCAACAAGAGGGACCATGTAGACCTGCTCTGCCCCTGGGCATGTTATTCTCACAGACTCTGGGGCAGTTTGTGTACCTAGTTCCTTTCCTTCCAGGTCACCAAAGGCTATCGCTCCAGAAACTTGGCTCCACCAGGGAACCGACAGAGACACACAGTCTTCTGAGCGCTTGTGAGAACATGCGAGAGAGGGAAGTGGCTGGCGGGCCTGTGCAGGCAAACCTGGATGTAATCACGAAGTTTGCCCCCACCAACCAGTGGGCACTAATTCGGCTGCTCATTAATTTCCCACTAATTCTCGATGGGGAAAGGAGGGAGGTCCATCTACTTCTCTCTCCAGAGACACATCCCCTAGACGGCCCACGGTTGGTCTCCTCGGCTTCCTCCAGAATTTGGCCATTTTTTTTTCCATTCCCTGTTGCTGGCTTTGTTTGTCCATAAAGAACGGCAGGGAATATCTTCACTCATCTCTGGTGTCAGAAGTACAAATTTGTGTACCCAAAATGTCTGAAAACAAAATAGCACGGCCACCCATAGCGTACACAGTTTTTCTGGGTTTGCTTTGTTTCTGGATCTTGAAATAAGGCATTATGGACCCCAGATTGACCTCAAACTCCTTGAACACCCTATTTTTCTGCCTCCAGCTCCTGTGCTCTGGAATGACAGGCGTGTACCGCCTTGCCCAGCTGGGTCCTTCTGCAGGGTATGAATTAAAAGGGAAGGCCTACAATGTTAAGGAAAGGCCCTGAGGAATCACAAAAACGAACCATGCACTACCAGTTGCTATTGTTCAGAAGCAAAGGAAATGGGTTTTCTTTCTCCTGAAAAAAAAAAGAAATATATCCAAGGGATTATAAAATTAAAGCTATATTTTGAAATACAGGTTTCTTGGGACTGGACAGGTGGCTCGGCAGTTAAAAACGCTTGCTGCTCTTACAGAGGACCCTGTTCAGTTCCAGCACCCACACTGGGTAGCTCCCAACCACACGGAACTCCAGCTCCACAACATACATGACTCCCTCTTCTGGGCTTACTCCACACACATGCACATACACACAGAAAAGTTCTAAAGAGTTTTAAAATGATCTTTAAAGATCCGGCTTAAGCATCAGGTCTGACCCCATGCTGATACCCCAGCTTTAACTGTGAGAGGCCTGGGAGTCGCAGGAGAAACCCCTAGGCCACCCTAGGTCAGTCTCAAATTCTTCCTATCTTGTTTTTAACTCTTTATCCTGCCCCAAGCACTGGCTGCCTGGAGCCTCTGGAGCTGAGTCTGTAGGTTAGGTTGGGTTCTGAGAAGCCTCTGGCATACCCTAGGGCCGGTTGCCTGTCACTAGGTGGGAAGTAAACCAGGAGAGGTGGGAAAGGGATGATGACTGTGGAATGTTGGGCACATAATGACCACAGGGCCCTTCTGTCCAAGAGCCCCTGAGGCATTGTCTCTGTTGTCATCCAGAGACTCCTGGAGACTGCCCCTGCCCTTCATACCCTCTGCGATGCAGGTACCACCCAGAGCCTCCTCTCACCCACCCAAGCAGAGAAAGAGCAGAAAGTTCAGTACAAGCTTGTGCCCCAAACTCAGGACCCGGCTCCCCTGCTTTGGGTGGGTGGAAAGGTTTTAGCCTCAGTCCCGAGGTTCTGTGACGATCTGAACACCTTGAAGGGCAGCCCAGGCCACCTGTACTTGCCTGAGAATGTGGGTTTAGCAGAGAAAGGAGGATGCCAATGGACCAGAGTGGAATCTTCCCACATGCCCACCAGCCTGAAAAGGAAGTGGACACACAGAGGGACAACTGTCAGACAAGAGAAACTCAAAGTGAGGTGAGGTGGGAGGTAAGATGCCAGGACTCAGGGGATCCAGAACACTTCTCCTTCTTCCTCATGTGGCCATGGGGGAGATGGGGACTGATCATCCAGACCCCACCCAAGTCAACAATCCATATTCACGCGTCTCCAGCTCAAAGCGCTGAGAACGGGCTGTCTTCCTGGAAAGCAGATAAGGGCCAATGCACAGGGCAGCGCCAGGCCAGGAGCCCTTCAAAGTCACTGCTCCTGCCCCTCAACTTCCTGTTTCCTGCCCTGCTCACACTTCCCTCCCTTTGTCTCCCGGGCCCCAACAGCAGAGCTTCACGGAACCAGTGTGAAGTTCCCCAGCAATGAGATCAAAGGCCTCGGCAGCCCCCCCCCCCACGCCCACTCCCCGGCTCTCCACCCCACACTTGTGTATGACCCATTGACTTCCTCCCTATCTTGTCTGGCTGTGCCACAGGCAGACAGACAGCTATCAGAGCTGTGCAGAAGTTGGGCGGCTTCCCTGGGGCCTGGATGTGACTGTGGTTCCACAGAAAACCCTGGCATCCCAGAGACCTGCTGCTGATAAGCAGATAACGGGGCAGGGCTGTGCGTGTTTTCACAGGTCTGGGACCCAAAGGCCTGGAGTTAATTGTGCTTTTGGATGGGGGTGGGTGGGAAGAGGGAGACGGGATGGGGAGGAAGGGAGGAACGGAGGGAGAGAGAGAGGAGCCCAACCTCTCTCACTGGCACCACTGGCTTGTGTCTGTGTTTTCCTGACTCGTGGAAGCCTCTGGTCCCTGTTCTCTGCGGTCACATGACCGTCGTCCTGCACGTGCAGCCTGAAAGAACACACACCGTGGGAAGACTGTGGGGCCAGAACACAGAATCCCGCCAGGCTCTCCTGGGACATGCAGAGAGCAGCCAGGGTCTCCTGTCACCTGTCCAAGCAGAGGAAGGGCAGTGTGTTGGCTAGGACTCTTTGTCAACTTGACACAATCTAAGGTCATCCTGGAGGAGGGAATCTCAATTGAAAAAAAAAATGCCCCCATCAGATTGGCCTTTGGGCAAGTCTGTGGGGCATTTTCTCAGTGAGTGATTGGTGGAGGAAGCCCAGCCCAGTTAGGGTGGTGCTACCTCTGGCCAGGTAGTCCTGTGTGCTATGGAAAACAGGCTTGGGGGCTGGAGAGGTGACTCAGCCGTTAAGGCCACTGACTGCTTTTCCAAAGGACCAAGGTTCAATTCCCTACACCATACGGCAGCTCACAACTGTCTGTAATTCCAAGAGCAGGCACCCTCACAGAGACATACGTGCAGGCAAAACACCAATTTAAAAAAATAAATTATTTGAAAGAAAGAAAGAAAGAAAGAAGGAAGGAAGGAAGGAAGGAAAGAAAGAAAGCAAGCTGAGCAAGCCATGCTGATCAAGACAATAAACAGCATTTTTCCATGACCTCTGTATCAGCTCCTGCTTCCAGGTCCTGGGAATTACCTTTATAATGTACTATGAGCTGTAAGAGGAAATAAACCCTATCCTTCCCAAGATCGCTTTGATTGGCACTTTGTGGGCACAACAGAAAGGACACACAGACAGCCCCAAATGAACCTGTACCCTGAGCCTGGGACAGGACATCACCTGCTTTGAGGTGAGTGGGCAGGTTTAACCTGGGTCCAGGGCCTCTGTGACAGTTTGTCACAGAGGTCACATACTGGGTCAAGGAGGGTTCCCCGAATGCCCTCACCAATGTGCCTCATTCATTTATAAAAGCCACCCACCTTGTGCTATTCCAAAGCATTGAGCTCACCCCCAGATCATTTAGAATGCCCGTGTAGTGATATTTGTTAGGAAAAGGGAAATAATTTCCCATGCGTTTTAGGCCTGGGGATGCTCATGCCTGGGAGAAAACAGCTTCGGGTTCCGGCAGAACCTATCCCTTTGTGTCCTTTGGAGAGGTCTGTGCTGTTGTTTTGATGTTCTCTTCCCAACAGATGTCTGCACAGGATACTGAGCCTTCATTAGCACCTTCCTCTCCAGCAGCCTTTGTGTGCCTGTGAGCCCAAAATAACCACGACCAGTCTGTGATGGGGCAGAACCAGGGAAACAATAGTGTATAGAGTCAACCAGTTCAAGACCCGGGTCTCTGCGGAGGAACTCTGTCAGGAACTTCAGGTTCCTACCATCTCAGGCCTTGAATCACCCCCAGCCTGGAGGGTGCCGATTCCAACTTTCAAAACTGCTCCCCTGGGCGTGGAAGACCTTGCAAATGCAGGTTTCCCAGCAAGGCTCTGGGCAGGCAGGAACATCAGTGGTCTTGCCTGCCAGTCAGTCTGGCAGCTGGTCTGGTGAGCGGGGCCTTGTGTCATCTTCTCTGCGTCCATTTCCTCGTTTACTCTCTCTCTTTTTTTTTAAACAAATCACAAGACCATAGTTTATTCATTCCATTAGAGAATTAGGTAAACTTCATATTACAAAACCAAAGTAAGTATAATTTTGAAGAATTTGATTATCTTCAAATACCAGTTATAGCTCAACTGAAGTGGATGTGAACACAGGGTTGGTGTCCATTGAGGAAGGTCACGTGCCTCTAATATATAAAAAGATAATGAGATACACTTTCTTAGTCATCAAGGAAGAAATTTTCTTTCTTACAGGCTGGTACTATTTCTTTTTTTGTAGCTCTTTTCCCTTCTCCTTTCTTTGGTTTCACCTTTCCACGGAGCTTCTTTAGACGTCTTTGCTCATCCTTAAAACCCTGATGCTCACCTCTGTAAAGGCCAAGGAAACGGAGTGTACCCATGAGTGCAAAATATGTGTTGTGATTTGGATACCAGTCGTAAGTCTCTTTCTTTTTGGCCAAGGGCTGCTCACTGAACATATTCACCACTTTCATGGGCTTTGAATCAGTAGGCCTGGTCACTTCACCAAAGATCCGGGCACTTAGACGAGACATACACAGTGCATATTCTGAAAGCGAAGCCATTTCTTAAACTGCGAGGTACAAGATTCCCTGCGTCTGACCTGGCTCGCGCGCGTCCTGGAAAGCTCCTCATTTATTCTTATGGTAACTCGGCAAGCCATATGGCCGCCGATAGATAAAATAGAGAACCTTTCGGCTCCAAGAGGCGAAGGTACCTGGGTGAGAAGGCACAGCACCCAATTGGTCTAGGAGACCCCTGAGAAGTTCCTTGGGCCCGTTTGTCACTGGAAAAAGTCAACTTAGAGTCACAGAGAGGCAACACTCTACATAGTCCTCAAAGGGAACCATCTCACGTGCACCAAGTGAGACCGGTCCAGCCTAACGTGGTCTGGAACATGCTGGAGTAGAGCTCAGCTGTGAAGAGGGGTGCGGTAGTGGTGGCTGTCATCGTGTGGACTGACCACAGCAGCATGACGTGGGTGAGGGAGGCCAACCACAAGGAAAGTGCCTGAGGAATGTAGGACTCCGGATCCAGGAATGGGCAGTGGCTTCGGGGTGAATGAATGGCTTGGGTTGGAGTGCCGCCTCCCACAGTGATGCTGATGTCCTGGTGGCCCTCACCAAGGCAATATAGTAGAGCACTCTGGAGGACAAACACACGGACACACACACATACACAGAGACACAGACACACACACACGCAAGCATGCACGCACACATGCACACACGACAATCAGGCCTGGTGTTGCAGACAACAATCCCAGGTATTTGGAAAGCTGAGGCAGGAGAATTCCAAGTTCAAGAGCAGCCTGAGTGAATTGAGATCCTGTTTCAAAGTAGAAAGCCAGAGAGATCTAGGGTGTAGCTCAATGGCAATGTACTTACCTGGTTACCTGGAAGGTGTGAGGCCAAGGTTCAGTCCCAGTACTGAAAATTCAGAAGCCCCTATCATCTACCTACCTATCAACCACCTATCTGTCATCTACCTATCTTATATCTATCTGTCAATCAGCTATTTTCTAATCTATCTACTATCATCTATCTATCTGTCTGTCTGTCTGTCTATCTATCTACCTACCTACCATCTAGCTAACTAAACACACACACACACACACACACACACACCCCAAAAGTAAAGAAAAATCTAAGCACTCTGAGATGCTCCCTCACCCAGCAAGGCTAGCGTGAACAGAAAAGCAGAAAATTGCAAACAGCAGCACTGAGACAGGGTAGCCGAAACCCTCCCCTCAACAGGAATGAAATTCACTGCTGTGTGGCCAGCAGAGAGCCTGGCAACAAGTCCTATAGACAAAGGCCCAAATGACAGTCATCTGTGTCTGGGGGCTGAAGGCAGGAGCCTGGCTTTGCACGCTTCCTCCAGGGGGCCTCCTGAGCCTGTAGAGGGTGTCTTTCCCCCTGAGTCCTCAGTGCCTGGCCCTCTGCATGTGTCTGTGTTCTGGTCTTGTCTTGCAAGGCTCCTGTCAGAGCCATCGGGGCCGCTGTGATCATGTCATTTTACCTTACTCATCTCTACAAAGCTACCGCACCACATCCTTCACCTCCTGAAGCAGTTGGAATTGGGTCTTCCACATAGGAACGGGGAGGGGGTGATTGAGCCTATAAAATTCACTGTGAGAATTCACCTACCAAACCCTAGGAGAGGATACACCTGTCCCATAAGCAACCATTGCGGTTCCTAGATGGAAATCGCAGCACAGTAAGACAATGTATGTGGGCTGAAATTACTCGTGAGCTTGGCTCGAAGCAGTGTTCATCACAGTAGCACCAAACTGTAGATTACCCATGTCTAGCAGGTGCTGAGTAGACATGGTTCTAGGTGCCTATAAAGCATGACCCAGCAGGACGAAGGGAGGAATCCTAGCCCTTGCTACACATGAATGAATCTCAGAGACACTGAGACACTGCTACAGCGGAGTGGTCAAACAAGGTGACACATGCAGTTTGGTTCCCTTCTTAAATACTAAGACCAAGATTAGAATGATGGTTGCCAAGGCTGAGGGGCACTGACTGGTAAAGGGAAAAATGGAACTTCCTGAGATGATAATGTCCCCCCATCTGACGGGATGGGAATGACAGAGATGCTTATATTTTCCAAACATCACTGAATTTCCCTCTGAATAAAAACCACTTCATGTATACTATACATATATTATATTTTGTGTATATATATATATGCATATATATATCACCACCATAAAATTGAGTTCTCTTCAAATCAGATTCCTCCAAGTGAGTTGGAGTGTTCAGGCCCAAGTGGGACACCTTTATAAACACTCCAAGAGTTCACTAAAGAAGCAGAGAAAAGGATGTAAGAGCTTGTGGATGGGGGGAGAACTGTGAAGTGCTGGCCTCTGGACATAACATGGCCATTGCACTTAGAGACTTGTAGAAGCTGTCCTTGCCTGCACAAAATCAAGCCAGTCAAAACTCCAGCATAGATGGGGAGAAACTTACAAGCCACCCCCCCAAAATCTAGAAACTATTGCCAATTAATGTCTTGTGGAAAGGGGAAATTATTCTTATTTGGGGTGTGGATATTTACAGGTTGTCCATGATTCAGCACAAATTGGACTCAGTGATTTATTAACAAAAAAAAAAAGGACATGAAGTGGGGAAGGAGTCAAATTGGTGGTGCCTTGGGGGAGTTGGAAGGTAAAACGGGCAGTCGATATGATTATAAAATATTGTAATCATATATAAAATTATCAAACAACAAATTAAGCTAAATAAATATATACCACAATAAAAAATAACCCTTAAAATATGTAAAACATATTTTTAAAAGGCAAAAGAAAAAATTATATTCTAATGAAAAAAAATGTGAAGGAAAGGGGAAATAAGGACTTGAGTTCAAATTGTGTGTTCCCAATTCCCTGTGTGAGCTTCTGTGCCCAGCAGCTCATTTTCCTGAAGGCAAATACAAGGCACAGTGGGATCACTTTCTCAAGATCATTCTTACCACCTGGATGAACAAGCCGTTCACTCACCCACCTGCTCCTTCATTTCTGGTGCTTGTATTGAGGGCATGGCAGGACATGCATCCTTGACCCTTGCTCCACAGATCTGACATTCCCACAGTGCCACGAAGGAGCAGACGTCACTTCTGGGTGCCAACCAGCACTCTGACAGCTATGAAGGGTGACCGAGTGGAGTGGGGTGGGATGGGGAGCATCTCAGGTGTGGATGTCTGAAAGAGAGATGAATACTTTGCATTGGTATGGATTTTGGTTTAATGATACAAATTTAAGGTCAGTTTTGTTATATTGAAAGATTCCCATGAGGCGTCTTCCCTCGGGAGAGGCCCCTGCGCCCCAAAGATCAGTCGAAAACACGCAGCCGGATGCAAGCAGCAAGAGGTTTATTGAGGATACACGGATACCCGGGGCGACCAAGTCTCTCGGGGACTTGCGCCCCCCCCCCCGTTGGGGGTGAGAGGTTTTTATAGGAGAGCAGAAGCGCGGGTACAGAAGCAAAAAAGCGTGGTTACGGGGATTCATTTCATTGGTCAGTTCAAATAAGGCTAAGCTGAGTGGCACATTCTTGACCTTTTACCTAAATACCAAGGAGGGGGTTGTCCAGACCCACCTGGATACCAAGGAGGGGGCTGTGCTACCTGTTTTTCTTATCTCTTCCTACCTTCCTAGCTGATCCTGACTCACATCCTGTCACAGGACAAAAGGCTCCCTCCCCCTCCCTTACAGCAAGGGGCCTGAATTGTCTATTTCTAAGGCCCTGCATTTCAGCATAAAGGGTGGTATATATAATTTTTTTCTTTACAATATGTATATTTCGACTCTTGCTTAAGGCATTATGTTTATACAGCTCATTTAAAATGTAATATATAATTTTAAATTACAGATTAATAGAGAGTCATCTATAATAGTCAAACTTGAAGTCATGTTAAGTTTTCTAGATGCACAGAGATATGTTTCTAATGGATAGATATTCTTCAAATCTTTCAAAGACCTACAGAATATGACATTTAAAATGTTTTTAAGACCTTAGACTTTTCTCAACAGTGAGACATGTCTGTTTCTGGTAGCACCAGTTACTTCAGAGAGGTTGATAGGCATTGAAGAAATTCATTATGAAATTTTCCTTCAATGTGACAAGGCTAGTCATTTGGGCAAGAAACTACTTTTGCCTGGACTACTTGAAAATATGCTGTGTGAACTGGACATGCAGGACCCACAGGAAAAAAAATGACTGCTAATCTTGCCTAAAGAAGGTGTGAGACAGCCCTGCAGGGTTCCTGCTTCATGAAAGAACTACCAGACATTCTGCAGAACACAGAAGAAAGCAACTGATGAATGTTGCCATTACAAGGCAGAACAGATCTTCAAATTTCCTGCTTCATGGAAAAGTCTGCCAGATACTATGCGCCTGCAGACTGAAGATGGATGCCCCAACGTTACAGAAGAACTTTGGGTGACTGTCCAGAAAGCAAGATGTCTCTGTCTAGAACTTTGGAAGTTGCTTACAATGCACTTCCTATTTACTTAGGCAATATTATATCCTTCTGGGGTCTTTAAAGAGTTGAAGACAGCTAATTATACTTTTCCTTAGTTATGATAAAAGATAAATTAGATATAATATTTTAGAAACAAGAAAATAAAATAGATGACAGAATATTGTCTTTAATTTTGCCAGATACAAACAGACTAAATATTCTAAGTGTAATTCTTGCTTGATAACTCTTTTGTTATGTGTAATTTTACTATGTTAAAGTTCAAATCTTCCTTTTCATTATTTAGACAGAAAAGGGGAGATGATGTGGGATTCCTGTGTATGCTATGAATATGCTTTATTACCATTGGTTAATATAGAAACTGCTTTGGCCTATGGCAGGACAGAATATAGCCAGGCTGAAAGAGACATAGAGAGAAAGTAGGTGGAGTCAAGAAAACACCATGTAGCTGTCAAAGGAGAAAGATGTCAGAACCTTACTGGTAAGTCAGAGCCTCATGGTGATACATTAACAGATTAATAGAAATGGGTTAATTTAAGATACAAGTGCTAGGCAGAAAAATTCCTGAGTTGTTGGCCAAACAGTGCTGTATCTAATATAGTTTCTACGTGATTATTTGGGTCTCGACAGCCAGGAAACCAACAAACAGCCACCACCTACAGATGTCATGTGTATGAGATAAGGTTATTGACTCCAAGGGAGTACAGGTCAGAGATCCAGCTCCGTGTCCTACAGAACGTAAGACATCCCCAAGGTAAAGTTTCACTTTCACTCTCCCTGACTGTCAATCTTCCTGAAGGTGGAGCTTGAGACAGAGAAGCTGAGAGATTTCTGAAGCACCAGTCTTTGCAGTACCTGAGTGTGGAGAGTCACTGTAGCTACTAATGGGATTCCCAAGGACAGCACATGCTGAGGCCAGGTAAGAGCTCCCTGCCTGGAGTAGAACAGCCCTGTACGTATAATCAAGACATGGATTACAACCTGGTTTCCTAGTCACCAGTGCAGGCCTGGAGGCTACACCCCTCTCAGAGTGTGGGTGGGGAATAGGGCAGGTGTGGTATGCACTCTTCTTAATGGGGCAATGAAATTACGAAGCCATTTAGCTAAGGGGTATGATGTAGCCATATGCTCAGGGTCACCCCCAGTTTTATACACCTCGCCCAGACATTTCATAATATGCAAACCCCACATGGCAGTCTCTCCCCAGTGCACAGAGTGTAACTGCTAGTCCAGGGTTAATTTACACATGGCCCTTCAGGGACACCCAGGGCTGACCTGTTTTGTCCCCATGGTCAGCCCTTTATTGCTATGGAAACTCCTTCAGCCAATAGCCTTTAAGATACTGGCTCACTCTGGGCTTGGCCACATGTACTATAAATATATACAGATGTAGAAACATGGGTAGCCCCTTGGCTACTGGGTTCGGTTCCTGTTCCCTGCTCATGCAGAGGACTGCTGATCTGTGAGTCTATCCCTAACTAAAGATACCTTTATTATGCTCTATCCTGAGCTAGTATGGGACTACTTTATTATAATTATTATAATATAATAATATTATTATAATCGCTAACAGTTCAGGGGATTACTCACGCTAGTCACTTCTTCAGTTGTGACTGAAAAAAAATCAAGAAAGTCGTGAGCCTGACACACAGAAGTAGTGAGCAGAGACGAGTTTTCTGTCATCTGGCTATGTGGTGATTTACAGGATTGATTAAAGATGTCTGGGAGAATCTCTGACTGTCCAATTGAGTAAAAGTCTATAATTTTCTCTAATTACCCCAGAATATTAGTAACACCCACCTTGCACATCAGGTAGACTCTGCATGCCCCCCACGGCACACTATAAAAGATTCTAACATTCTCTGCACCTCGTGTTGGCCAAGCCCATCTTCAAGCACTTGATTCAAGAGTCTGGGATTTGCAGGGCCCAAGAAGGAGTCAGTCATGCTCAGCCCAAGTTTAAACTTGCCTCCTCCTGGAAGCAGGCTGTGGAGGTCAACAGACATTCTGTAACATGTCTCTCTGTCTTGCCAAGTGGGGATAATTGTATTCAGGTGGGTACCAGGATAAGACCCAAGCAGGGAAGAGCTGGCCAATGACTGATTCATAGTCAGCAGTAGGAGAGACTATGCTAGGGAGTAGGAGAATGCAGAGCCCTCACCAGAGGACAGCATGCGATGTCACTTCTAACCTTCCCGTATTGTGTGGCACTGGAATCCAATACAGGCTACTAGGGCAAGGTTCCATAGACAAAGCAGCTTACCAACAATGGGCATTTCTTCCTCTCAGTCGGGGAGCCTGAAGTCCAAGGTAAGGACTGGCTGGGTTCCAGTGAGCCTTTCCCCAACAAGAGTTTTGGCTGGGATCACACATGTAAGAAAATTTTGGAAGCATTAGGTCCTCCATCTTCTTATGAGAAAACGGAGTTGGTTTCCACCCATATGAAGCCATCACGGTTAAGGCTGATCATCAGCTTGACAAGATCGAGACTCACCCAGATGCATCTCTGGCTGTGTCTGTGAGGGGCTTCCCTAGATCGGGATGGATGAGCTAAGGGAAACCTACACTGAATGTGGACAGCACCAGCCCATGGGCTGGGGTCCCAAACTGAATACAAAGGAGAAAGTGAGCTGAGCACCAGCGTCCATCTCTCTCTGCTTCCTGACTGTGGGGACGATGTCACCAGCCACCTCACATTTCTGCGACTGTGCCTTCCCCAGCACGAGTGACTGTGTACCCTCAAACTGGGAGCCACAATAAACTCTTCCTTCCTTCAGTGGCTCTCAGGTATTCATTTTGTCACAGTGATGCAAAAAGTAGCTAAAGCAGACCTACCTCCTAATTCCTTTACCACAGGACAGGGGAGGCACAGCCTATGGTGATGTATTGTTGGAACCTGGCCAGACGGCCATGAAGGTTGACCTCAGAAGCAACACTTGTTTTGTTGTTTTTTTTTTTAAAAAAAAAACTATATTCCTTATGGCTTAAATATAAAATGGTCCCCGTAGGCCTCTTGTTTGTAGGGGGAATAGCCCTGGGTAGTGGGGCTGTTTTGGAAGGTTCTAGAAATTGTAAAAAGTGGGGCTTAAGGATTGCTTTGGGAGTAAACAACTGCTCTTCAATTTGATTTGAGGTCTGTTTTGTGGAAGAGAGCCACGCCCTGGTACTGCGGAGCTGGTTAACAACCCATGCCAAGAGAGGTTGTGGGCCCAGGCAGGGGCACTGACTACTGTTGTTTACCTAAACTGGTGTAGTATCAAACTGTCTTCTAAATCTCTGTGCTTCCATCCATAGCTAAATTTGTTCTTAGCATTAAGCTTCTCTTTGCTTTAAGAGGCAGTGTATACGCGGTGGTGGCGGCACACGCCTTTAATCCCAGCACTTGGGAGGCAGAGGCGGGTGGATCTCTGTGAGTTCGAGGTCAGCCTGGTCTGCGAAGTGAAATATATTCAGAGAATCATGGATGCCCAACTTGCTGAGAGGGCCCAGCCGTAAACAAGCCATTTATGCTACCTTCTCGGAGGCTTAGGAAACATGAAGGAAGAGAAGGCAGAAAGTATTAAAACCTGGAAAATACGGGTGAAGGGCTGTGAGATACCATCCTTTCTACTCAAAGCAACCACCCACTACCATCGTGACCTCCCAGCTGTAGTTACCCAGACTTGCACGAGATTGGTCCTGGCAGCATTCAGTCATTGAAAGGGGCGGGGCTCATGAGGTCATACCCCCTCACTGTGGAACGAATTCTGAGGAAGAGACGGTCATTTTCTTCACTTGCGTGTACCCACTGTTGAGCCTGTCAGGCTCCAGCAGAATGTTCCGGTCACACAGACAGCCAGAGTTAAACTCAGTGTGTCACAGAATGAAATAAATAGATATGAATTTGAGGAAGAGATTGGGGAAGGGAGAAAGGAAAGATGGAGGAGGCAGGGAGGAGGTTGGCATGCGTCATGAGTGAAATTGTCACAGTGCTCAGTGTGCAGTGTGTAAGAGATTGTAGAGGACTCAGACCTAAATGAGACCTAAATGAGATATACTAACGCGCGCGCGCGCGCACACACACACACACACACACACACACACACACACCTGACAGGTCCGGGAACTTCTCAGTAAAAGGAGTGGAAAGCTGGAGGCGATGAATGACTTAAAACACAATGTTTCTGGACTCAGCAGGGCAGCTGCACTTTTGAACTCCTAGCAGGTGTGACAGCATGCACAAGACTTGTGCAAGCTCAAACCAGACAAACATTCTAGCATGGGGTGGGGGAGGGGCGCACAGTCCCACCCCCTGTCAAGGAGCTATTGGCATTTGATTGCTGCTGGAAGAGGGAAGATCAGCTCTGGTTAATAACACTAGGTCACCCCCACACACTCCCCACTCCCAGGACGACCACACTCTAGGGCAGGCTTCACTTCTAAGAGTAGATGGGGAAAAACAAACTACATTAGATGTGGGAAAATCGAAAGCAAGAACAGAAGAAAATATAAATGTGGCTGGGTAGGTAGAGTATGGGAGGAGTTGATCAAAATGGGGTGAATATGGTCAAATTGCATTGAATAAAATTCTCAAAGAATTAATGAAAATCTTATTTAAAATAGTCAAATCACAAGCTTAATTATTTTATTAAAAACAATGTAAAAGAACACAGCTTAGGCTTTTTGTTTGGGAAATTGTTGTTTTAATAAAAGATATTTGTGAATGTTAAAAAAAGGAGGCTCTAGTTGGTGGATGTGAACCCCTAAGGGTGAGGGTCCTTCACCCCTTTTAGCCATGCTCTCTGCTTTCTGCATAGCCTAGGCATGGTGGCACATACCTGTTAACCCAGCACTTGGGAGGTCGAGGAAGGAGCATCAGAAGTTCAACGTCATCCTTGGCTATAGGGTGGGTTAAGAAGCCAGCCTGAACTACATGAGAACCTGTTTCAAATAAATAAATAAATAAACGTTTTAAAAAAGAGAAAAGAAAGAAAGGTTGGGCACAGGGCTGATTCTGCTGACAGAATTGCACCTAACTAGTCTGTGAGCACAATAATTCCGGTTTATGACTTTTGTCTGTCCTCTTAGTGGGCTCTCTACCTGCTCCATTCAAGCCACGGGGTCTTTAAAAGCCCTTTTCCCAAGTCACCTTTGCTTTCCTCAATAGATCTCCACCGTCCTTTATGATTTCAGATCGGCAACCAAACACCGTCCCCATGGCAACCGACTAAAGAAAGTAAACTTTTAATTACGCCGCCCAATGTCGAGCTGTCGCCAGTGTCTGCCACGCTCTCCCCCAGCAGCAGACACAATTCTGGATTCCGTGGGCGGCCCCGCTTTTTTCAACCCTCTGGGTGTTCGGTCTCTAAGTGCCTTAATGGGAGGTGTGTGACGCTGGCATTTCAAAGGCCCCCAAAGAGAGCCTTTCATTTTCCACAGCAAAGTAACCGAACTCAAAACTTTTATTAATAATGTAAAAGGCTCTCTCAGCGTGCGGAATCTGCTAGGAAAAAAATGCAAAGAAATCAGAGGGGACTTTACTTTATCAAAGCGCACCCGAAATAAAGGCCAGGCTTGGTTCTGAGGGAAGGAGGGAGGCGTGCCCATTCGGAGCAGAGGTCAGTCTCTTTTCTCCACCTGTGTGCGACCTGGAGAAGGAACGCCACCAAGTTGGTTCCGAGCAGCCCTGCCGAGTCTACAAACATACTTGTGGGTATCCGTTAATGGGCCCAGAGCTTCGGCGTTCCCTCTAGGGCAGAGCAGCGAGCTGCAGGTTGTATCTTCACGCGGTTCCAAGCTCATTTCTGGGGTGTGTCCCAGTTTCTCTTCGACACTAACTCCTGCAGTCCAGCGCAGTGTCTAGCCTGTTCTAGAAAAATAAACATCTTCGAAGCCAGGCCTGGTGGCCACACCACACCTGTCATCTCAGCACTCCTGAGGCTGAGGCAGGGGGACTGCAATTTCTAGACCAGCCTGGGTTGCTTAGTGAGACTTGGTTTTAAAGCAAATCCCATGCCCCTAAGAAAGCGTTATCTTTGATTCGGCCCTTTTCTCTTCCAGGTGAAAGGTCATTCTAATCCATTAACTCATTACCTAGGCGCTAACTTACTTTCTTCCTTTCTTTGCTTACCCAGCTTAGTTGCTAATTGTTTAATTTCCTGAGATCTTTCTAAGCCCTTGCAAACAAAAACCAACCCAATAATTATGTTGTACACTTCATTTGGTTAACCAACTAAGGTACATTTAGGTGAACACACATGGTCTTGCTTTCTTACTTAAACCAATAAAAATAGCATCATATTAATAAAAAATTCCTAAATCTGACTCCATATTTCTCTGTGTGCATGTGGAGGAGGTGTACCACATGTGTGGGGGGGGGGGTTTGCATTCCTCTGTGCATATGTGGTCGTAAGTTAATGTCAGGTGTCCTTCCTCTCTTGATCATCACCTTTCTTATTAAAATTTGTTTCATATCATATATTTGATTATGTTTTCCCCTCCTCCATCTCCTCCAAAATCCCACCTCCCTACCCACCCAGCTTTATTTTCTTTCTCTTTAAAAAACAGAAAGAAAGAAACTAAAAGAACCCACAAAAATGAAAATCAAAACAAAGACCAAAAAAAAAAGCTAAAACAAACTAAAATGAAACAAAAATTCCTCATGAAAGCCATAAAACCTAGTTAGTTTTATGTCAATTTGACATAAAATTATTTGAGAGGAGAGAGCCTCAGTTGAGAAAATGCCCCCCATGAGCAGCCTGCAGGCAATCCTGTAGGCCATTTTCTTAATTAGTGATAGGGGGTGGGCCCAGCCCATTGTGGGTGTGGCCACCCCTGGGCTGGTGGTCCTGGGTTCTAGAATAAAGCAAGCTGGGCAAGCCATAGGAAGTCAGTAAGCAGCACCCCTTCATGGCCTCTGCATCAGCTCCTGCCTCCAGGTTCCTGCCCTGTCTGAGTTCCTTCAGGGATGACCAGCAATCTGGAAGTATAAGTCAAATAAACCCTTTCCTCCCAACTTACTTTTTGGTCATGGTGTCTCATCACAGCAATAGAAACCCTAAGACAACCTGTAAGTTAATTCTGTGTTGGCTAACTACTCCTGAGCATGGGGGCTGCCCGGGGATGTGGTTGATAGACTGACCCGAGGAGACTCCATCAGAGAAAACCGATTTCCCCTTCCCGGAAGATATCTGCTGCAAATGGCTTCTCCGTTAGGGGTGGAACCCTCCTCTCAGTGCTGGGATTTTGTGTGGTTTGGCCCTGTGCAGGTCTTGTGGCACCGTCTCTATGAGCTTAGCTGTGCATCAGTTCTATCATATCTAGAAGATACTGCTTCCTGGACCCACCTAGTACCTCTAGCTTTTAGAGTCTGTTGGCCTTCTCTTCGGCATAGGTTCCTGAGATTGATGACATCCCATTTAGGGTTGAGTGCTCCAAAGTCCCTTAATCTCTCTTCACATTGTCTATTTCGAGGTCTCTGTGTTAATCCCCAAGAAGAAACTTCTCTGAATGAGAAGGTCTTTTGAGACAGAACTTCACTGAGCCTGAAACTTGAACTCATGAACTGGCTGAACCTTTGAGCCCCTGGGATCACTTGTATCTGCCTCCAGTACTAGGATTGCACATGTTCTTAGCTGTTTTCATTTTGTTGTTATTGTTTCTATGTCGGCTCTGGGGATCTGAACTCGGGTCCTCACCCTTACACAGCAAGCGCTTAACACGCTGAGCCATCTCCCCAGGTCCCTGACCATAGGTAGCCTTGATTGAAGAAGGGATCAGGGCGTGTCACCCCTAGAGAGCACTTCCCTCACCTCACTGACGTAGTCATTGCCATGAAGAAATGTCAAGGCCAAGGCAACTCTTAGGAAAAAAAACATTTAACTGAGGACTGGGCTACAGTTTCAGAGGCTGAGTCCATTATCATCATGGCAGGGAGCATGGTGGCATGCATGGCACTGGAGCAGTGGCTGAGAGTTCTGTCCTGATCTGCAGGCCAGGATGTGTGTGGTGTGTGGGGGGGGGGGGGGTATGGTGTGGCCTTCGGAAACCTCTAAGCCCACTTCTAGTGACACACTTCTTCCATAACTGTTAACAAGGCCACAACTGTTAATTCTTGTTTAAATAGTACCATTCAAACTTATCAGTGGTGGTGCATGTCTTTAATCCCAGCACTTGGGAGGTAGAGGCATGGTATGGGAGAATTGTCTGTATTCTGTCAATTATGTTTTGAATAAACGCTGATTGGCCAGGCAGGAGGTGTAGGTGGGAAAACCAGACAGGAAGTGGAAATGATGCAAGGAGAGCAGGAGAATTCTGGGGAGGAGGAAGTTGATTCCTCCCACTCCTGCCCAGATAACCAAAGCAGCAGGATGTGATCTGCTCCACTGAAAAAGGTACTGAGCCACAGGGCTAACATAGATCAGAAAAATGGGTTAATCAAGATGTGAGAGTTAGCCAGTAAGAGGCTAGCGCTAATGGGCCAATCAGCATTATAACTTATAGAGATCTCAGTGTGATTTTTCTCTGGGACTAAACAGTTGGGGGGCCGGGCAGGACAAAAACCCCCACAAGCTGGCCCCTCATGTTACAGAGGCAGGTGGATCTCTGTAAGTTCGAGGTCAGTCTGGCCTACAGAGTGAGTTCCAGGACAGCCAAGGGTACACAGTAAAACCCTGTCTCATAAAAAGAAGAAGAAGAGGAGGAGGAAGAGGAGGAGGAGGAGGAGGAGGAGGAGGGGAGAGAAAAAGAAAAAGACAAAAAAAAAAAAAAAAGAAAAAAAAAAAAAGAAAAACATGCCACTCCCTGATGACTAACCATTCAAATACATGAGCCTATGGGGGCCATTCTTATTCAAACAGTCAGAGTCACCCATGCTTTTTTTTTTGTTTTTTGGGTTTTGTTTTTGTTTTTTTATCTAAACCTAGGTAAATGACTGATCTCTTTGCTGTGATGAAATGCCTGGCAAAAAGCAACTTAAGAAAAAAAGGTTTACTTTGGCTCATGGTTTCAGAGAGCTTAGTCACTGTGGTGAACATCACTGCTTATCTCAGCAGTAAGGAAACAGAGGGATGGGTGCCGGTGGTCCTCTTGCTTCCACACACTGGTCCACGCGACAGGGCCACCCACATTCAGGCCAGGTCTTTTCACTTCAGTTCACTCAGTCCAGAAAGTCCCTCACAGACATGCCTGGTGTCTCGCTTCCATGGAGATTCTAGATCCTGTCAACTTGAGCATATTAACCATCACAGAGACCTCAGTGGGCTGTGGACATCTTGGCCTGCTCCCTACTCACCAAAATAACGTACAAGGGGCTTGTACTGGCTTCTACCACCCCATGGGAACTAAATTTGATTCACGGTCCTTGGGCCTTCCCTGGCACCTGCTACAATTGAATGCTTGCATCTCTGCCAATCCAAGAGATTTAAAGCGTCCTGCATCACCACGGGGCTTTAAGAACTTCCAAACTGAGTGAACGGGCCCTTTTGGTTTTGCAGTGTATATTGACTTCTGTGATACACCTGCAGTGACATTTTGCTATAATTCTATGATCAGAAGAGGAGAAAAAACACTGGCCTACTGTCTACGGATAGAGGGTAGGGGAGAAAGAGAGAGCCTGTAATGAATGCGGATATTTACCTGGGGATACCATTGCTAGAGTTAACTCTGCATCTTCAAGGTGATGGAAGCTCATGGGAGGTTGAGAGAGCTGAGGAAGGTAACATTGGACACTTGGATACAGAACTTCTGATCAGGGCAGTGGCAGAGTGGTGTCACTCCGAGGATCAGCAGATTGTGGTTGAGCACACATCTTTGTCTATATCCCCTTTGGATGAGGCCGTGGGGCTTCCATGCCAGATGGCCACTCTGGTGTAGCTTCTGTGACAGCCACCACTGGGCACCGTGTTGAGACCCTCACCTAATTCCTTCCTCTGTGTCTATTGTTGTTGGGGTTGAGTGGTGGAGGTCGCCCCATTCCAGCCATGTTTCATTCAGATCCGTTTCTCTCTGCTTTACCGTTCCAGAGTCCCTTTGAGGAGCCCCAGCTGTGCGCAGACCCCCAGCTGTGTGAAGGCCTCCAGCCTTCTCCCACCCTGGATTTCCACTCTTCATCTGTCCTTGCTTTGTGGTCTCAGATGAGAGCTTTGGTGCGTGCAGGTGAAGAAGGTTACAGGACGCTCACATCCGGTTCTCCTGCTTATCATTTCCCTCACAGTCAGGATGGTTTGCGGACAAACACCAGAGACTATGTGACAGTGGTGGTGGTGGAGTGGACACCTCAATCCCTTGGAGGGACGCCTGTATATTCTTTCAGCATCTCTCCCCCCCTTGAATCCCCACTGTACAGTAAAACGATCCTGCATCACTTCCGATTTTAAAATATATAACTCCACACACAGACAATACCAAAATATAAAGGGGCTCATAAATCTCTTGAACAGACGGGCAGAGCTCTCTGCTCTGGGGAAGACAGATGGACCTTGTCCACTCTCAGAACCAGGGTGAGCTAGTTAAGCCAACCTCACGCCTGTATTTTGATAAGCATAGTGGTGCCTGGGATTTGAGTCCTGAACTAGGAGAGAGACCGTCAGCTCCTGGGATTATCCAAGTAGACGCCATGATTGAAGAAGAGGAGGTGGCAACAGTCAGAAGCCAGCAACTTACAGGCTAGGCCCCAGCTGTGACCTGCCCCTCAACCCCCAACTCCAGCCCAGCCCTGACCTTGGAAAATCCCTTACTACGCATCCAACTCTGGAGGTCAAATCAGGACTCAGAGTCAGGTGCCTGTGTGGAAAGTATCTTTTTATGATAGATTAGCTGATGCTAGAAACAACTCAGCCTCCAAATCCTGCTTCCTCAGAAAGTGCTAAGCGGTGTTGTTAGGGGATCAAACAGGGAGGCCTTTGTGTGGGGTGCCAGGATGGTTTTGTTAAATTATGAAACTGGCTCTAATAAACTGCCAGAGGTACCATCTGCAACATGCTTGGCACCCCCCCGACACACACACACACAGTTCCCCAAGCTGACTGAATTATTTGTACACAACTCATTTTACTTTCATGGGGCATTCAATTGCACAGAGACCTTGAAATCTTTTACAGTCAATTCATGGCATCTGGCTTCTGTCAGGAAGTTTTTGATGGATTTTGTCTTAAAGGGATGAAAGGGGGGATTGGATCATTCTACAAGTTCATGGAAGCCGATGCCAGTGGAGGAAACGCTCACCCCTATTTACTTCTGGCTACCTCCTGGCTACTGAAGAAAAGATTTTGTCAAACTGATGCAGGTACCAGGAACCCCAGAGGTCTCAATGGGGATAATGCACTGTACCCTCTGGGGTACAGTGAATGAATCTTGTTGTGTAAAATAATGTGATGGTTAATGGCAATTGTCAATTGACACAACGTAAAATCGCTTGGGAGGAGAGTCTCAGGGAGGAATTGTCTAAATCAGATTGGCCTTCAGTCACAGCTGTGGGGATAATCTTATGCTCACAGATGTGGGAAGATCTCTCCTCTGTGGGTGACACCATTCCCTAGGCAAGGGATCCTGAACTTTATCAGAGTGAGGAAATCAGCTGAGTGGGGAATCCAGGCAAGCATGAATGCAGGCACTTCTTCTCTCTGCTCTTGACTGAGGGGGATGTGATGTGACTAGTGAAGTTCCTGCCTTGAATTCTCTACAATGATGGGCCGTGATCTGGTAGCGTGAGCTGAAATTAACCCTTTCTCCCTGGGTGGCTTTTCATGAGGGTATTTTATCATAGCAGCAGAAACAGAAGTAGGGCAATTGTGTCCTCCTATGCATGATGGCTCCCACAGCTCTGGGACGCTGGGTCAGCCTCTGCTATCTTCTGCTCAGTCCTTCACCCCTAGGGTATTTGGAAGAAATTCATGACATTACGGCATCTCGTCTGCAACAAAAAAATATATTTTTAGTGGCACAGTGCTAATCACTTATACCTAGGACACCTCAATAGTGTGTAACATGAAGGGGCCTACTTGTTGGGGTTTCTGTTCCACCTAGTACCCCACAGCTGACAAGCCCCAAAGAAAATCACACAGAGATCTCCATAAGTTATAAAACTGTTTGGTCCATTAGCTCAGGCTTCATATTAGCTCTTATAACATATATTACCCCATTATCCTTATCTACGTTAACCACATGGTTTGGTACCTTCTCAGTGGGGCAGCTTACACCTTGTCTCTCAGGTGGTCTGGGCAGAACTGCGGAGGGAGCTTCCTGCTTCCCAGAATACTCCTGTTCTCATCGCCCCACCTCTATTTCCTGTCTGGTTGACCCACCTGTACTTTCTGCCTGGTCAATCAGTGTTTATTTAAAACATGATTGACAGAATACAGACAATTCTCCCGCACCAACAGTGTCATAACAAAAGCCCTACACTGTGCATTCTTTGAGTGGAAGCTGCCAAGACACTTGTTGTCCTGGCTGCTGCCCAGAAGGGTCAAGGCAAAAAGGACCAAGCAGGTAGACATCAACTTTCCAGAACTATTTCAGTCTTGAATAGCAGCTGCCTTAAAGAGCAAGGTCTCTTACCAATAAGGCATGCTGTTTTCCTGGGCAGACAGACACAAGTATTGCCTACTGGGCTATGTGTGTGTGTCCATGTGCATGTGTGTGTATGTGTGTGTGTGTGTGTGTGTGTATGTGTGTGTGTTATTGATTCCATTTCTTTGGAGAACCCTAACACAGATACTTACCTTTATGTTTTCATATAAGAAATCACAAAATTTATATAAATTTCATATCTATCTTTCCCATGCATGTAGTCATAGGTACATGCTTGGTGTCCACCTGGTTTATATTCATGTATATACTTAAAATAACTTTGCATAATAGGAGCTGAAGGAGTACCCAGTTGTTTCTGAGGTGGGCCTTATGGCTGGTGTTCAGGGGCTGGGGTAAGAGGAAAGAGACCCCTCTGTATACTAGATCCTTTAGTGGTCTTGCTCCAAGTGATCTTTAGCAGACTCCAGTTGCATACCTCTGTCAGCAGCAAACCAGTGGAGCACTCAGGTACCCTCGGTAGCACTGTCTGCTCTATTCCCAGAATATACCACATTGCAAATCCTGCCTGGGGCTCTGTGCTCTGATTCAGACTGGCCAGTGTCTCCTGCCTGAATTGCAGATCTTTCAGGCGGTTCTACGGTATCTCTCTGACTCCCCAAGCATCTCAGAAGAAGAACTGATCTTTGCACGCATGCACAAAAGATGCAAAAGTTTTAAACAAGTTGACTTCACAAAAGTCTCCAGTGCGGCAATGCTGTAGCCCAGTATTATGGACTAATCATGGACTCTATTTGATACATGAAAGACAACTGACTTGGCATTGGATATGGACGAGCTGTGGCCACTGGCTTACAGAGCAAAGGAGATGGGTGCTCTGAGAGCCCTGGATTTCACACTAAGGATCTCACAGCTGTGACTCTGGTTCCTAGGAACACAGCTCTGAGACAAGCCACCACTTGCGCTGTATGTCTCTTGAGACCATCATTCCATGAAGGGCATAGGCCTGAGCAGAAACGACACAGACCTTCAAGTCACTCTTAGTGCTGAGCACCTACGCCATTGCCACCTCCAGTCGGCCTGCCCTGTGAAGGAGCCCTGGGCAGTGAGGCTTCCAGTCGGCCCTGTACAGAGAGATAAGGAAGGAGCCCTGCTAAGTCCCAGGGGCCTGCAGGTACATCAGCAGAGCGGATGACTCTTGCTGTTTTGTGCCACAAAGTGATGGAGTCCTAGAGAGTTGGAATCGCCTCTGCTCAGAAACCAATTGCTCTGGGCCGGTTCTACCAAGAACAAGAATCAAGAGTCTAGGGATGAGGAGATTTTCCAGGTTTGTGTATCTGCTGTATTCAGCCTCCCAGGCAGGCACTGCCATTTAAATCTATGAGACAAGAACGACAGAGAAGATAAGCCCAAAGAATCTCAGCAATAGGCATATCTATGTGCACCCCTGTCCCGAAGCAGACTCACTCTGTGGTACCAAGGGGCCACCAGGAGTTGTGCTGGGACATTGTAGGTGCCATCCAGGCAGCAGCTGTCTGGTCAGCAGACACGGTCCCACTAAGACTCCCTCCTCGGATCAGGAAATGGAGCTAAGAGGCTGCAATCTCCACAAACAGCCATATGAGTAGTTCTGTGATCATGGGAGGGGCGAGGGCCAGGGCTGAGCAGTGAGGGTGGCAGACATGGGCACCCAGCAGAAGGGCTGGCAGGACCAAGCCTAGGTTAGCACCGTTACATGGTACAGTGCTCCGTTCCTCCTGGGCCTGTGTGTAAGTCTCCACCTGGATTGATGTGAGCTGTGGATGGCTTCTTGGAGGTAAGGTGTGCTATGTGTGTTGGGTGTGTGTGTTTGTGTGTGTGTGTGTGTGTGTGTGTATTTGAGTGTGTGCTTATGTGTGTATAGAAAACCTTGGGTGCTGTTTTCTAAAAAGCTATACATTCTTCCTGTGTTTTTCGTTTGTTTAAAATTTTTATTTTATTTTTATGTGTACTAGCGTTTTACGTTTGTGTATGTGTATACACCACACATATGTAGCACCAAAGAGGCTAATGCAGGAGGATCATGAGTTCAGGGGCTGTGCCTGTGGCCTCAGCACTGGGGAGGGTGACACAGGAAGATCGTGAGTTTGAATTCCACACAGGCTATACAGAAAGATCCTATCATAAAACAAAACAAAAACACGGCAGGCACCACCCCTGACTGGACAACTGTCTCGATTTCACACCCGCTCTGTGCACACACAGTGAAACTATACGAGACAACAGTCTGGCTTTGACATTTTTACCATTCCAATGGCCTCCAGGAGCAGCCTTCATTTGTTGAAATTAACTTGTATTTCAGAAGCCCTGCCTTGAATCATTCCAGTCAACTATTCTATCTACTCCTGTATCCTCTATGCCGCTAAGGAGCACCTCATTAGTTCTCAGACTGCCAACAGCAAACGGGTGCTGGGAGAAAACGCCTCATGATCCTGCCCGTCCTCTGAGTCTCCTCTGATGTCTGCCCAGGATTGGGTGGAGCTTCGTGTGCATCAGGCTCTGCAACTTTCTTTTCTCCCTCCTTCCCGCCCTCCCTTTCTTCCGTTTCTCTTTCTCTTCCTCTCTTTCTCTCTTCCTCTCTTTCTTTCTTTTTCTCTCTCTTTCTCTCTTCCTCTCCTCTCTTTCTCTCCTGGCAACTGCAACTTCCAGGGAGGAGACACAGCATCAGGTCCTGAGTCTAGAAAGACCGGAGGGGAGAGATAAATCGCTGTTCTGAAGGCTCGGCTCAAGCTCAGGCTCTGTGCCGAGGACCATTCCCCACACTCTGGATGCTCAGTCCTCATCCCAGC